CTATTAAAGAATACTTGAATGACAAAACTGCATGGCTGTAACTGCAAAATTGTTTTGTATTTGTTTGCAGTGTCGTACAGACAAATTACCTTAACTCTAAGTAACCATTTTGCAGATTGGTTTTAGTGGTTATGGGTAGTCATGCTCTCTTAAAAATCTCTTCGGCGGTGTCGTGTGAGGCGGGTCGTTGCGTTCCCTAAAATATGGTTGAGCGTAGCGATGGCTGGTTCATGCGTCATGCTCGTGAACGGGTGCTGCCAGCGGAGATGAGTCTGCTCTATACTACTTTATTATTGTAATGATAATTATTATTAAATTTTGATTGTATTTTACATTACACAACTTGTATTTATACTGTATGACACAGCAATCAAAATGTAAGTGAACATATATTATTTCTCTGATAAAGATTTAATGGCGGTGTGGATTCTGGTATGTTTTTCTAGACCTGAACTTGGTTTTGCAGCGGTGTATCCTTGTCATTCTCTATACAGACTGAAAAGGGGGGACTGATGTTGGATTTGGTTTTGGGTTGGGAGAGTATTGCCAGAGTCGACAACAGTGTTTAGGTAATCACATGCATGTGTCCTGCCGTTGTGTTTATAGTTTGTTATAATAATGTACACTGGTACCTATATGTATTTTTTTTTCTATTTTAGTAACATAGTATCCATATGTGGTTATGAGTAGTCATGCTCTCTTAAAAATCTCTTCGGTGGTGTCGTGTGAGGCGGGTCGTTGCGTTCCCTAAAAAATGGTTGAGCGAAGCGATGGCTGGTTCATGCGTCATGACAACGGCAGGTTCAAACGGTAGGACACGTCATTCCTAAACTTTGTTAAACCATTTTTTTTTACATATTTTTATTTTTTATTTTATAGTCATAATTTTTATATTATTTGCATTTTTTTTGTTTGTAATGAAAAGTGACTTTATGAGTTACCTCATATTGAAGTCATTTTTCAATTTGACGACTCTGTATATAATACAGGGAGAAAAAACAGCCCTTGCTGAGTTTCTTGCCGGTTCTTCTCAGTACAAGGTCTCCCGCCGTAGATTTGCGAACCGATGGCGTAGCTTTTCGACATTCACAAGTGCTTGTAACAGCCTAGACTGAATAAACGCTATTGAATTTTGAATTTTTTTTTGAATTTTGATTTATTAAGACATATAAAGACTTTACCAGCGGGGTCAAGGCTACAGATGGGCCTCAATTTTCGCAAAAATGTGTGAAGTTAAATCAAGTCGTTACATAAATATCTCTAATGTATATAAATTTTAGAGTAAACTAGCACTTACTCAAAAAGTCATCTTTTGTTTATGTTTTTTTTTAATAGTTTAGCAGTAAATATAAAATTCATTTACTTTTATTCGTCGACTATTTAAAATTGGCAGTGGCTGCATTGTCATGTCAATGCCGGACGTCTTAGATTGTGATATACACAAATTCAGTGTCAGTCCCTAGTCTCATAATTTGATATACCTACATAATTCACAGAAACCCAATATGTAGATGCCAGAAGTTAACTTCAAATGTTTTTAATCACCCATCACCCTATATACAATACCAATCAATGACGTTTATGTCGCAGGTTGAAGAAAGAAGTAATTCCCGTCTGTTGTTTTGGACAATGGTGGCAACTGCCTTAGATCACTAAATTAAATAATTATGCAATCACCAAAGCAAAGTTTATAATATTTGATTAAACTAAAGGCGCATAATAAAATTTTCATAACGTTAGGTAGAGCACCATAGCAATCTCATGTATTATCAATTTATAGTTCTCTTTGTAGTTTTCTTTTAAAGCGTTCACATTTAACAGGTCAAAGACTTTGTGTTCGACCCTTTTTTATTGGTAGTGTAAAGCTCGAATGAAGAGTACTCCCAGTAGTGCAATCATGGCAATTATTTTCCAAATTTTTTTTTGTTATAAAAATACCGAATAACGTATCACTGTTAAGCACAAATGCTAAGTAACTTTTCCAAATATAATCAAATAAACCTATTACTTACTTTATTTTTAAATCTTTTTCATCAATTAAATACTTATCTTATCCTAACTATCTATACTAATATTATAAAGAGGCAAGATTTGTATGTTTGTAACAAATAATCTGACAAACTACTGAACCGGTTTCAAATATTAATTCATCATAAGGTTTATTACATTATTTATTATAACATTTTTCTTTATTTAAATACATTTTGTCCGAGTGACATAGGCTATATTTTATCCCGATAAATAAAAAGGGTGGATCACTAGTAAGTATAATATAATATTATAGATGCGAAAGTGAGTTTGTTTGTTGCGCTTCCGTGCCCTAATAGCTAAATCGAATATAATGAATTCCCATATAGAAGTAGATGGGAACTTGGTTCTTAGCTACAACATCGCAATACTTATAGGCGTAGGGTGATGAAAGGGGTGATTTACCTATAAAAATCTACATTATTTACTTTGAATTTTGCAGAATTATTACAAAACCAATATTATCGCGAGCTGATTAATAAATACAGGGATTCCAATAAGTATGTACTACTATTACTACTAGAAAAATGGGTTATTTGTCATTATATTAAGTAAACCTTTTTTGTTACATTAAGTAATATCTTTAAAAAAATAAAAAACAGTAAAATTCTGAGTTTTTCATTAAAATTCAATAATCATAAATACCTATTATGATAATATATTTTTCATCATTTACTAAGAAGGAACTGTATCACAGTTTTATTGTTAGTACTTCGTATAGGATCAGATACTGCGAATACCCCATTTTTTTTCTTTTACATAGTACACCGCGCTATCACTTTGTCATCGTTGTAACTTTTTAAATATTTGTCGAAATGACATAGTGTAAAAAGCAAAGTTTATCGTCTTTAAATATCAAAAGCGATCAAAGTATTTGTTTTGATAAAAAATGATTTGTTAATACAAAATGTGCATTTTGGAAATAGATATCAAATAATATTTTAGTTTTGATTCACTATTTTAGCGGTAATGACTTACACATTAAAAATAGATATATGGTGTCACGGACTTTTTTTTAGAACTATTTAAGATATACATTTTCACTCTACATTACATTCATGTAACTTTTATTGTTTTTGCAGTGCAGGCCAAAATGGCTCGCAGATGGGACATTTTTTTCCGTCTTATGTGACACTTATTGCTATATATTGGCTAATTCACTCAATAACTACATAAATTATTATATATATGTAATTATCATATATGAGCTATATTACTGTTAAGTTTCATTAAAATCCATTCAGTATTTTTTAGGTGAAAGAGTAACAAAGATCCATACAAACGTAAGATTGAAATTAAAAGCGTAAGTGGTTAATATACAACTTTAAAGCTTTGTTGATCCTAAACAATCATATAAAATGAAAAATGGTGTTAAAAACCTAAATGTGATTTTTGATTATATAGACAGTGATACCCCACTCGACATATTTTGTCAACTTTTTTTTTTTACTTCGTCACAATATGGCGCCTAATTTTGCCCATATTGAATTTTGATTACTATCATATATTTAGTAGCACTCCCATGATTGAGACGAATCGACTGATGTATGAATCATCAAAATCGGTCCAGGCGTTTGGTCTCTAGTGTGCCACAAAGGAACAAACATACATATATAGACTGTTAAACACATAACCCTGTCTGCGCGTCGCGCTTCTCGCTCTTGCATTGCGCAGCCGGGTAAAAAAATATAACATGTAAAGAAGGAACAATGAAAAAAAATTTTTTATTACTTCGGCATCATGATTAAATGTATATCCTTGTCAAATTACAGCTTTCTAGTGAGAACTACAAGTCTCTGGGCTAAGCTACGAACTGACGGACAGACGGACGTAATGAAACTATTTATTCCTTGTTGACTGGGAACCATAAAATACAACCTTTTCATGTAACTCTGGGCGAGATGGGACTGGCTCATGGTCGATCATCATTTGATTTCTCAAGTTTTTCTTCTTGATATCCTCATACTTATTAATATTTTCAAAATTTGTATTGCCTATAACAGGCATCAGAGTTCCGTATCCAAAGGACAACAATGGAATCCTAATACTACACACCCGTTGTCTGTCCATCTATCCGCCAATCCGTTTGTCAGTGTATCAATCATTACCGTATCTACTACTACTGTCACGTATCTAATGCTCTGAAAGGCTTTCCATTAAAATTTTCACAGAAATTCAAATGTGATTAGCCTTATAGTAATATATGTTATTAACGGGATTGTTACCATTTACCTTGTTTTAGCGAGTTTCCGATAGGTCTGCCAATAACAGCCTACCCGCAAGTACTTCAGTTACTCCGTGATCATGGCGCTTGCAACAGTACCGAAATATCGGAAACTCGCTAAAAACAAAACAAAAACAAGGTACATGGTAACAATCCCGTTAATAACATATATTACTATAATGTTAGCGATCATGAAAGTTTAAAACAATATAGTGATTAACCTTGTTTGATGGTACGGAACCCTGTGCGTAAGAGATTAAGTTGCGCTTGGCAGGACTTTTTATTCCTAATAATAATCGGTACTGATTGTACGGTTCCATCGATTTCTGGTATACTTAGTAATAAAACTAATAGTTTCCGAAACAAATGTCTTCCAGCAAAATATTATTATTATTAGTTTAGTACCCTTAGCACGAACCATTATTGAATTCGAATAGGTTGCGAGTGCGAAATGTCAATGTCAAATTTTGTATGGAAACTTAAACAGCAGCGCCGCAACGTACGTAACGAAAACTAAAAATCAGTACACATTTGACAATGACATTTCGCACTCGCAAACTGTTCGAATTCGATATTTATTCATGCTAAGGGTAATGTACAAGAAAGTATGCAAATAGCGTGTTCTTTTAATCCTTGGTCTGCAATTTTTACAACCGAATTTAATCCTATAAAAGTGGGTAGATTACCCTAAAGTATCATGCTATATCGATAAAAAAAAGCAAAGACTTCTCTCGTTAGATAAATCATGCCGAAATTTGACCCACTGCAATAATGTATACATTATTTTCTAATGAAACACACTCAATAACTCACATTTAGGTATTCTTTTCGATATACTGACTTATGATGTAAAGAGACACCAAATAAAACATCAGCTAGTAGGTACGTGAAGTGCAAACGGCGCAAAATATTATTCAACGTAATTCCACACCGGCGCGTTCAAATTTAGACCTTATTACTAACCAGTTAATAGCCAAACGAGTGGTTCCATTGTTACGTACCGTTTATTGCATGTGTTGCACACGACGAACGACGCTTGCGCACCTTTGTACACCTTGCGCATAAAAATATTTGTACGTGTTTTTTCATTACAATCACTAGACAGATAATAAATGAGTTTTATGAAAATCTTGCACTGATATTATAAGTACAGTTATCAGTAGGAAAACGTATTTTGATTAGCAAACCATTTCTTTGTTGTAGTTTTAGAACATTTGGCAAATATATAGTTTAGAAAATGTGGTATGGTTTTTTAAGCTCCGATGAGTATCTATTTATTTATCGATGGCTGCCTATAATACTGGCTCAGTGTCATGTCTTCAGTGAGATGTATTATGAATGTCAATCAAATGAAATACTTATCATGGTCATGATATTCGCATACCAAGTCATTGTAATTCTGGTGCAAAAGTTCGCCCACTTGCAGGCGGATTTGCTTCGTCACATCGACCGGCGATGCAGCATTGCTGTATCCAGTTAACAAGAAATAAAACTTAATGCTCTTATGCATTTTTTGATAAGCGTTTCGCAGTCAGTAAGTAATGATGACCAGTCAGTTTAAAATTACCGCGCCGCCGCGCCGTCGTATGAATTTTCCGGGAGCGTCACTCCACCGGGCAACAGTATCGATCGGCACACGCCCGATTGCTGCGGCAAAATGGTAACCGCAGAACATATCGTGAACTACACATGGAATGGAACGCGATTCCTTCAAGCTCCTTTTGTTGAAAGGTGATTTGCAAAACGCACCTAAACACGGTAAGGGCGTAGTCGCGCGACAGCCAAGTAGCGCACTCTCGTGAGAGATAAACGAACAGATAAATCTGAAATTCTGTGCAATGCGATGCCGACTTGTGTTTTTTGTTCATTGCGGAGATTGTTCGATCCGATATCCAAGCGCCAGTGGACGCGCTGCATTGCACGCGCTTCAACGTGGATTAGTAGGAAGACACGTGAGTGTGGGAGGGAACATTGGTGCGGGGCGCAGGGTCGCTCGCTGTCGGCTAGAGCGGCTTCGCGGCCCTCTCTTCGCCGCAACGCAAATCGTTGAAATCAAAACTTTCACGCTACGAGAGCGCTACGAAGTTTTACTGCTACGAACTTCCTGCTACGCGGGACGTAGCGCGCCGCACTCAAAACTTTGTTCAGAAAGCTTTTTTATTTGTCACTTTCTGTTCGGCCGACTGAAAACTTACGATCTCTATGAACGAAAATTAGAACTCGGATTTCGACCGTAATCGTGTTATCGAGTGCGCGAACAAGATACCGAGCGTTCACTATCTATCTTCGATATGATTACTTGTTATGAGTAATTTTGTTATTTCGAACGAATCAGTTTTCAGATCCTTTTCTCGGTCAAAATTTTATATATAGTTACATATGTAACTCTATATAAAATTAGTAAGTCTGTAAGTCAACATTTTAAACAGAGACAAAGAAAGAATATACTTTAAGTGATATTTTCTACTGCAAAATAACAAAGAGCCAGACTCAAAAACAAACGTAGTTTAATTTCCATTCCCCAAATTAGATATCGCCGTCGACTTCAGTGCGCACAGCAGGTTCATAAAGTGAACTGAAACACGGGTATTTCCACGAGAAACGGGTAGAGAGAAGGCATTGTGCTGGCCAGGCGAAGTCGGTTCGGTTTTGTTGTTCGTGGAAGCGAGTCGCAGGTGGGCGCTCGCTGTGCGATGGCAGGCCGAGGGAGGCCGACGGGCCCCGACGCCGGCTCAGCCGAGTGCTCAGCGGCTGAACGCCGTAACCGCCCCGGCCGCCTCGCACCAGTCTGCGTTCGGCTGCCATTCTGCCTGCTCGTGACAGTGACGCCGTGCTGTGACACATTTGACAGTTTGTTATCGTGATCGTGTGATGTTTTCGTATCGGAACTATGGTGTATCCCCATGAAAATGTGGAGTGATTTCCAGGTGAGCTTTAGTTATAATGTCAACATATTTTCATTGTTATCAGACGTCAGTTTCTCACAGTCACTGGTGTTTTCGACTTGTGTTCGCATTCAGACTTTTTCATCATACTTTGTTCACTTTTACCACACAGACAGCGTGCGGAATAACTCGAAGTCGAGTCACTTTCATCGCATTTGTCAGGATCATTAACATTTTGTTGATTTTTTTAAAAAGTTTTGTTACTTTTGGAGTTAAGGGACTTAGGATATTTTCACAGCTGTGGGTAGATTTTTGTGTCACAATATATTTCACTGGGACGCGATGCCCTCACCATTGGCAGAGAAGCTTGCGATGATCTTAGATCTTGTATAAAATGAAAATTTACAAAAAAACTATTTTGACGAACTTTTGGTTTAGTACTTTTTTCTAAGCTTTTCATACTTACTTATCTCGTTATTAAAAAATCAGAGAGAATAGTATTTTGATTAACTTTTAATTTTTTTTATACTTAATACCATTGTAATGATTAGATTGTTCAGGAGTTCAGAAATACCCAAAAATGTATAAGCTACATAAGTATTTAACTTCCGTTACATAGTTTGAATAAGTTTGCTCAGAGTTTAGTGTCATATCTCCTCCTAACTTGGAAAAGTGTTTGAGTAAAGCTAAGCTAGGGATTGTACGGGATTTCGCTAGTATAAAATGTACACGTCACATGTAAGTTTCGTAATACAATACGAAAATTCGGAAAATTCCTATTGTTGTTGTTATGTGCGCGCCTTTTTTCGAATCTGACAGCTCAGCGCATTTCCGGCGACCTGTCAAACGCCATGTGATAGATAGAAGGGCACATTCGTTCGGCGGGGTTTTAAATCAAAGCGCGGTATTCGCCTCGAATCTCGATAACTGCGACGCTCGAGGCGAGCGAGAACGCAGAGAACCCACCACAGAAATATGTACGTTCAGCTGTCCCGCTCGCACTCGGACCGTCCCTCTCGCACGGCTGGTGTTTTTGTGCCGGAGCGGGTTTTTTGTCGACGCGCCGAGGCTGGCGCCCGCTCGCTCGACTCGACCGACTAGCGATTCTACATTAATTATCGTCGACTCGGCTCGCAGTGTTGCTGCACTGAACAACAAACACTTTCTACGTTTATAATTCTTATAACAAATCAAAACTTAATCGGTATCTTCTATCAAATTTTAATAGTTCCTATTTTAGGTCGGATTCGCGGGTAGTATAGAGCGGGCGATATGGTGTGTCGAGTTTTCCTGCTCGCATCGAGGGGTGCGTTGCCATGACAACGGCTGGGGCGCCCCGCCCAGCTGCCTGGTCGCCCCGGCTCCTATATTGAGATTTACTCCTCGCTACGGATCGCCAATGGCGAGTCCTCTCCACTTGTCTTTTTCTCGAGGATGCTCCTATTATCGACACATGAAAGAGAATTAGTAGCGAAACTGATAAATTTTGAGCTACCTTAGTTATTTTAGGATAAAAGCAACAGAGCTATACGAGTATTACATAAAAACTAATATGCTTATATATGCTAAACTTTTGTTTCACATAGAAGCTGACACGACTTATTCTTAGTTAGATTTATAATTGACGAAATGGATGCTAACCCGTTTCTATGTTAATATCTCCTTTTTTATGAAATAAATATACACATAGGTAGTAGGTATATTAAATTTAAAAAATCTATTCATGTCCTTATTCTTAAAAAATAATGTAAGAACTGCCCGATACCGAATGATAAGACTGCTAGCGCCATCTATCGAACGATGTAAGAACAAAAGAACTAGTAGGTATCGCGAGTGACTACAGAAGAAAACCTTTTATTAAAAAATAATTTTACTAAATAAAAAGTTCATAGCTTAAGCTATAAATAAATATACGAAATATTTTTTGATGTTTAATGTTATGATGCAATTAGGAACACATTACATTTATGAATGTAATATTTAATAAGAAAATTTTCATCTGTTTCTGTCTTTTTATTTTCTTTTGAATACAAAAATGACACTTTTTTCAGTTTAATAACAATAAATTCGCCCAAGTTTGAAAGTAAAACCAATTATTACAAATAAATACACAAAAAACTTTCAAGATTATTAAACTAATCAACTTTAAAAAAACTAGTGTACTTTAATTGTTTTATATGATTGGTAACTAATACAAAATCTAATGATAAATATTATGATTTATATAACTTTTCTGTTAATAATCATTAAAAATCTTTCATTCAGACTCAATTACAAAATGTACCTATTAAAAGTTTGCAGTGAAATATATACAAATAATAACTCCTAAAATTACATTTGTTTTTCATTTTACTAAATTCTTGAGTTCTATCAAACATTAAAAAAAAGAATTAAGCAAAATCTCCTTTTGAAATTCAATTAGAACTACATAAGAATAAATAAAACAAAAAACAGTGTAAGATTGACGTATTAGGTAGGCCTCTTGCGGGCGTATTCTTCACAAGTGGGGGAGGGATTCCTGGGAGGAAAGGACTTGTTGCAGTCACGTGCATCCTGAATACATCTGCACCTGAATAGGTACCTATGATATGACATCCCTACGTCTCAAAGGCGACCTAGAAATTACGTTTCTTCATAGTAGGTAGGTAAATACTGAAAACTCACAAGTTTGTAGATTTTCATACAATAAAATAAAGTTATTATTTTTTTTTATAAGAACAGAATAAACAGTACAAATACTATTGAGTGACGCAATAGCAAATTGAGAAGTTTGCTATTTTTCGCTAAAGATGTGTATTCCATATTTGTATGTATTTCTTAAGCACCTACAATGGCGAAAAACCGTTTCTTTTTACAAAAAAAAGTCATATTTTCATAAAATATAAATGTAAGTCAGTTTAAGTCATGATGATAGGGCAAATTTAAGTTGACCCCCCCATACGAGACGATCTTTTGCAGATACAATCAGTATTTAATCCAATACATAGGAAGGAAACGTTTGTCCAGTCACGTGAGTGATAAGATTCGACATGCAATTGGTTATTAATGATCTGTGAAGCTGTATCAGTACTTTTAATGTAGTATCTTACGTGTGACTAGCTGAAAGAGAATCTTGGCGTTAAAAAAAAGGAAACAGCAAATTAACGTCATGCGTTCTTGCGCCCGAGCACATCTCATAATGGCTAAGTTTGTTACGCATTCGCTGTAAATTAGCGCATAGTAAACAATCGACCACGTGGAGTAAAAGTAAACTCATAAACAAATAATGAATTAGCCATAGCGACGACCGACGTCATCCGCGAAGACACGCATAATAATCGCTTATGCAAACGCGGCTAATTATGTAAAGCGTTATGAACCGTACGTACCGTGTTTTGACATACACTAATGACCAATTATATGCTCATTGTGCGACTCAATGAACTTGAAAGAGACTACAATAATATAGGGCATCGACTCCGAGTCATGAATGACGTGCCATAACACCTGTTTAGAAAAAAAAACACAACACTATTGTCAGGTGTACCGAATTCAATGCGGATTATTATTATTTTATCACTCGTTGTATACTCACCGCGCCGCCGCTGTCGGTCTTTTTTTATTATAGGCATCTTCGTTTGTGTAGTTTCAATGATTTACGGTAGTAAGAAATTACCAGTCACGTGACCCATTTTTTTATCTTCTTCCGTGAGTAACTTGTAATTGTTTATTTACGTTTAGCCGACAAGGCGACAACTGTTCTTAATGAGTTCTAAATATAGATTATTGTAAGTTTATTAATAGCATGTTTGTTGTGTTGAAACAAGTGTTAAAAGACGAATGCAACATGCTCGCTAATAGTAGGCCGGGCCGTCTCGCCCATTGTTTTGAATTTTCGATTCATAGCAGAGAAAAATATTTTAAAACACGCTGTCTCCCCGAATTAAAGTCTCGGGCGCGCCTTACTATTTTGATTCGCGGAATTCAATATAGGTATCAAACGGCACATTCGTTGAGAATATTCGTGGAGCAATAAAATTAAAGTAGGTGTCTCCCCGGCACCGTTTGTGTAGGTACCTGGCCCCGATGTCGATGCGGCACCGCGACCCAATTATACGTGCGTGCTTACATCTATAAAACAATATATGAGTCGTTGAACTCTTGCTTTTGTAAACATTGCATCCGTAAACACTCGGCAGACGCGACGCGGCCGATAATTTATGTAAATCCACATCATTGTATAAGTGTTTTATTGCCATCTTGTTTTGACGGTCAAGTTCGGCAAGGAACGAGCGAAAGTTTGCCAACAACAATAACTGATGGAGGCAGTAAGCCTTCTTGTTATGTCAAGTAGAACCTAGTACATATAACGGATGTTCTCTCTATGTTGTGTTTTTTTAAATAGATTAAATTAAGATTTTAAATAATGTATACATTTAAACAACAAGAACTTAAAAACTACTTAATGTATAAAATTTACTATCCAAATTATCTTAAACTACTTAAATAATATATAAATTAGCAAAATATAAAATATGTTACGCCGCCGTGAGGAATGGTGTCCAATAGGCTGGCAGCATTGCCACGTTGGATGGCAAGGCTGATCCGTTGACCAAGATCAGCTGTCTTGGAGCCAGGATCCAACCTTTTGATCACCAGTCACCTCGGTGACCCTCTTTGACAGTTCCTTAAAAAGGAAACAAGTCTCAACACAAAACGGCACAAATATATAGTTCTCATTGAGAGCTGAATGTTGTGGTTAAAAAAATTTATACTTTAATTATTTTTTTATACTGATTAGACTAGTTCGATTCAAGTTTTTTCCAATAATCGTCTTTTTGTCTTTCATGTATACAGTATTCAAAAATTACATGGAAACCTTGATCGTTGTCAAATTCAAATTTTTATTCTAAGCCATTTCATAATTTTTTTGTAACACTATTGATTATTGGTAGGTCAAATGTGCACAAAACGATAAAAAAAATCGATAACCAAATAAAAAACAAACATCTCAACATAGGTAATAATTAATATTGGACCAGATGTTATTTCATAATGTTTTA